GTTCTCCTCAATTTTGCTGCTTCACAGGATCTCATCCCATCTGATGAGCAGGCAGAGACACAGAATAACCCACTTGTGCCACAGCTGGCTGAATTGTCAAGATGAGAAGATGACGAAGTCAGAGGTGTTCCAAGCAGCTGAGGGGCACAAAAACAACTGGTTGGAAAGCAGGGAAAGACAAGGAGGTGAGCCCAGGAGCAGTGCTAAGCCCCAAATCCAGGCTGCAGAGACCCAGACAAGCTGCTGGGTATTGTCCCTGCTCACCTGGGATCTCACTGGAGGGGCAGGAAGGGGAAGGGTGATCAGTAAAGCCCCTGTGGGCAAACCCTCAGTCATGAAGGCTCTTTCCTGTCGCTGAGGGGTGAGCAGGAGATGTGGCTTTCCTCTGGAGCAGGACCCAGGTCCATAGTGGGAACACCACAGGTGAGCAGTGCGTGTTCAGCAGCAGGCACCTACAGGCTGAGGGGAGGCTGCCACACCCTGCTTGGGCCACACTTCTTGGGAATTCTGATGGAAAATCCAAGCCCAACTGAGAGCTGGAGCCATCAGGTGAGGAGCCACAGCACAGCAGGGCCAGGCCAGGAGATGGACACCTGCCCAAATGTAGCTGAGAGGAGCTGGCTGCAGGTTTGGATGGACATCAAGGCTTATTTCAACTCTCTCCAAACCACTCCAGTCTCAAAATCAACTTGGAAGTGATGCTATTTACAAGCCTACTTCTTTTGGCAACCAAGAAATAATAAGCAAGAGGGGGATATTATTATTATTTCAGCTTCAGAGGAGGGAATAATCAGCTTTCCAAGGAATGCAAGCTTGGCTGACCGCTGAGGGCCTTGCAGAGATACCCATGTCCCCTTAACAGGCTCTCTCTGGGGACTGCCCTGCTGAAATTTTACTGCCCAGGAGGCTCAGAAGCCAGATCAGCAGGGACACAGGATGCCAAGCCAGACACAGTCCAGATTCCCAGCAGCTGGCTCGAATCTGAACTCATCATTCAGTGGCCAAGAAGGGAAGCTGCAGAAACCCCCCAGCATCTCCCCACAGCCAGCTGCAGCTCCCAACAGACCCCAGCACTGGAGCACAGCTCACCAACTCCAGCCCAGCTCCACATCTTCAGGAGATAAAACCAGCCCCACAGCACCACTCCCACCCCTGTGCTTCACTAATTAGCCCTGATGACCCTCTGAGCTCCTTCTGCCCACCTGCCTTGCTGCGCAGTGGAGGGATCTCCCTGCTGAGCTCTCTGTTCACTGCTGCACAGGGAGGGGACTCAACTTTTCCCCTCTTCATTTGTTGCTTTCCCTCCTCCCCTCCTTCCCTGCTGGTCACCCATCCCCAGCACCCACAGGGGGATGTCCATCCCTCCTTCACCTCCCTTCTCTGCTCCCCTTCTGCCCCACGTTCAGCCCCACCTGGTGTCTCACCAGCCTGGTGGGGCGCAGGGAGCTGGGACAAAGCCACGGGTGTGTCTCCACTCCTGAACTCCACCTCTTCTAGGAGAAGGCTTTGTGGATGTTTCCTGCCTTACACTGCTGCTGAACTTGCAGCTGCCTGACCCCAAGCCCAGCTCCACGGGCTCCTGTTCCCACTTTGAGGCTCCAGAGGATTCCCAGCCCCAGCCAGCGCTGTAGGACACCTCAGGGCAGCAACTCGTGACACACATGTGGCAGCTTATAGAAAGGCTTGAGGAGTCTCTTCCCCCTTTTATTGAAAATGATCATTTCTATTCTAGTGCAAACACTGTACATTTTACATCAGAAAGCAAGAGATAATTTACAGGATACACTTCCATCTGGAAATCCCGTGGCTTCATGGCAGCCTCTTCAATCATCCATCCCTGCCATGCACAGAATTCCCACTTTGAGGGAACCAGTCACCTATTTCTCTGCTGAGAAAGGGAGAGCCCGAGAAAACAGTGCTCATACAGAGTAGGCAAGAGGAAAATGCATTAAGACACATTTTCTCCCCTGAATGGTACCCAAACTTAATGATAACTGTGGTAACCATGGCAACTTCCCAGCAATACAACTGGAAATCTACTGAAACCCTGGAGAACTGCACTCTTTGAGGATAAGGCCCTTGATTTGCACATATATTTACATGGTTTAATAAAATACAGATTAAACATACACAGTTCTTAAATTTCACTTTGGCTTGAGCGACGACAAGTCGCTGTCTTTTGGCTGAGGTCATCAGCAATTCAGAAACAAACACCAGAAGATGTCTGTTCATCCAGCTGGACTCTGGTTAGTAAATCCATGTAAACAAAGCAATATTGGGTCACCAAAGGGGATGTAAAGGTTTTACCAGAGCTGACTGATACCCAGTCAGCTGTGGTGGCACCGCTGACCAAGCAGCCCAACCCAAGGCAAGACCCAGCTCAAACTGGAGGTGCAGAACCTCCCAGAGCCTCCATGCAGGAGCAGCCCCATGCCAGACAACCCAGATAAAGGGAGGAGGCTGAACAAGGGCTTGCACTGGCATTTGTGAGCCCCTTGATGTGACCATCACAGCGTGGGGATGGAGATCTGAGTCCACGGCTGGGTCACGGGGCACCAGGAGCTTCATGCTCCCTGAACTGCCCCGTGATAACCTCAGAAAGTGGTGTCCCTACACAGACAGCAACAAAAGCTGCTCAAGGTGGTTTTTCTACTGCAGAAAAGCCTAGCAAAGACTGAGGGGAAGAGCTGAAACTCCAGGGTGAGCTCTCAGGCCAGCACGGGGGAATTCACCCAGGCTGCTGGCACTGCTGGGATGGTGGTGGGCTCTGGAGGAGGGCAGCAAGGCAAGGGGAGTGGAGGGCACCAGCTTAAGGTACTCAACGACCAGTTCAGCCTTTGAGTGGTGCTACTCAAAGGCACTGTGTCCTCTCTGACCACATTCTTCAACAGTTTGTGTGCTTGTGGAGGCACAGGAAGCAGGAGTGAGTTTCTAAGTGCAGCCCGAGATTTCCAACATGATCACTTGGCTCTAGGAGCTGGACCTGCACTGTGCAGGATAGAAATATTTTGGTTTACACGTGTGAGGTTCTCCAGACTGCAGGTGGCCAAAAAAGGGGATCAAACAGAACATGATGGATTTCTTAAAGCACAGTACTCGCCCTGCCTCCCTTTCCCTGTTCTGCCTGTGACTTTCAGCTTTTTGTCCTGATCACAATTAGAGTTTTTTTCCTCAAAAATACCCATACAGGGAGGGAAAAGAAAATCCAGCAACAATGCATACAATCACAGGCACAACTTACTCCAGTTTGGATTCAGGGCTTTTTATTTTGTGCTAGCTCAAATATTTTGGCTGGATTTCCATTCATCTTCTGCCAGTTTAATTTTCACCTATACTTTAAAGAGATTTATTCCTTATTTCCTGCAACATGCTGTTTTAGACAATCAAAGCCCACTGTCAGACATCTACATATGCCCAGTGTGCCTGCAGCAAACACCAGGCTGCAGATCTAAGCCACTCTACCAGAAGAATTTCTCATGGCTCAGCTTTATTCTCCTTCCCTGATGGTGCAGCCTGGAGCATGGAGTATCTCTGCTGCCTTCAGGGCTTTTCCATGCCATTGTCCATCTCAGTTTGGACACAAGTGCTGTTTGTCATAAATCAACCCCCTCCTCCCCCAGGCAGGAGAGACAGGCATCACCAGCAAGGAGAAAGATCCTAATTTCCCCAGGATGTTTGCGTGGAAGAAATGCCTTTTGGGCTGCATCTCCTCTATTATTCATGGAGATAAATTAATTAGGTCCTAATTAGGTCTCCAGAGCCCAGAGGGAGGACAGCAGGTAGGGGAAATGGTTAAGACTATAGGACAAGCCTGAGTGAGCAGTGTTAAGGGATCTTTGGTGGGATGCTCTCTGATGAGACAACACTCGTGCCCAGAGGGACTTTCCTTGGGGATATCCCTGCGTGTTCCCAAAAGCCACATGAACCAGTCTGGCTGCAGAGGAGCTCCTCGTTGTGTTCTGTGCAGCTGCCCATGGGGAAAATCTGCAGAGAGGAGCGTGGCTCCCTCCAGCACCTCTTCTTTGGGGTTTCTCACGGGAGGACATGAGCTGCCTTTCCCAGAGCTGCCCAAGGCTGCAGGGAAGAGCTCTGCCAAGGCTGAGAGGGGCTGTGGCTGGAATTTCAATGCACAGCTCCACCTGGATGCAGCACAAACATCCCGAGCGTTTTCAACGGGTTTTATTTTGTTTAATAAAAAACACCAACCAAGCTTGCATGTATTATCTTATATATATAAATATATACAGTATATATAAAACAAACGCATCTGGACAACGCCTTTCCCTGTGGCACAAACTGTAAGGCATAGAAAGGAGTGTCCTGACAGTCCTGTTCTTGGCACTACAGAGAGATCCCCCTGCTACACTCCCCCTGCTCACACACCCACACTGGCTTTGCTCTCTTCTTTGGCTTCTTGAGGCAGCAGTGCTGGGAGTACTCAGCAAGACAATGGAGCTCTGCAGAGCCCAAGGAGCTTTTCCAGGCAATTCAGACAGCAGGAATCCATCTCGCTGCATTAAATGGGCTTCTGGCAGACTGATAGGAATGTGCTGCCTCTGTGGCACAAGGGACTGGAGGGATGAGGGTCGGGTGGATATCATGGAAATTGGTGACCAAACAAATTCTCCTCCTAGGGTGAGCTGGGGCAGCGGGGGGATGAGCAAGCTTTGCACCTCAGCGTGCTGGTGGTGGCACTCGTCCGTGGGCTGAGATTGGCAGAGGTTTCTTTTTGCAGTAAAAAAATGGAAACCAGCAAGGGTGAGACTGTCCTTTACTGAAGAAGCTCGTAGTATATTGAGCAGAAGCAATAAACCCGACGATAACAAGAATAAAAAAAAATGGTGGCATTATCCCAAAAGGAAGGAGGAACCTTATCACTCACAGGTTCAGTTTGCTCCCCGTGTTCAGTTCTAGGTGAGGGTTGGCTTTTTTTTTTATTTATTATTATTTTTTCTTTTTTTTCTCTTTTATTTTTATTGTGGTTTTTTTTTGGTGTTCTCTTTTTCTCTTTTTTTATTCTTTCAGCACAGACAGGTTGCGAAGCAGGACGGGTGCTGTTGTGTTTTCTCCTTCTGCAAGGCAGCTGCCCCAGTCGTTAATTGACTGTGGGCACCTGATTCCTCTGTAAACTATATTCCTTTGCCTTCAGTCTCAGGTTGGCAATACTGTTGGCCATGTTCATGCCCTGCGCCGGGCTGGTGTTGGTACACGTGGCAGAGTAGGTGGCCATGGCACTGAGGGATGGAAAGAGAAACATCACGTCAGACATGGCCTCCAAACCACAGCAGAGCCCAAACCCTGGTTTTTTCCATACCTGTGGGATGTACTCCTGGTGTGGTATCAGCAGGGAATTACGAATTACCACTCCCCTTATTTAACACCCCAGTAAATCTTTCCCCTGCTGTTCATTTACCCAGCACCAAAACTGGCTGAAGTCAACAGGAAAAAATTCCACTTCCTATTTTCTAACCCAAAAAAAGGTTTGCAATGAGGTCAGCCTGCCAGTTAGACCATTGTCCTTAAAAGTATTCCCACTGGAAGCAATGTCTTTTTGATGAGACCAATTTCTGGTTTTACAGCCTGTGAAATCACGTCACTTCTGAAACACATGTTACATTAAAGAAACATTCTGGGAAAAACCCATTTCAACAGTTGGGATGTTTTCTCATTTCAGCCTTTTGGAATGAAAATTTCCACATTATTCCCCCCCTCAAAACTTCAGCTGATTATAAAGAACATGTCCTAAATGCTGAAGGAAAAAACCCAAAACATAAACCACTTCTTCTCCCTTCAAACTTTATTCATGAAAAACATCACTTCTGACAGCAGAGGCTGAACAAAGATCTCCAGCTCCTTTCTTATGCTACCAAAAAAATCTGCAAAGCTGCTTTCCTGACCACTAGAAAACTTGTTTAATCCATGTGTCCCATGGGTTTCTGTGAAAAGCAGCTCCCCCTGCCAACTCCCCAAAACCCAGCAAAGTATTTGCTGCATTTCCTTTTACATGGGTCCACAGACCAAAACCAGTTGAGAAGCACCACATGAACTAGAGGTATCCATTTAGCAGAGAATGTTCAGGAGGAAAGCCCAAATGCTCTGCTGGAGGCCAGCTCAGCTCTGGTGCTGACCTTTCCCATCTGCCTGCCTGGTGGCTCACAGCTGAGGCTCTGGGAAATGCTCTGCTCCATCCACAGACAAAAAAAAAACACCAAAACCAAGATGGGTTGGGGTTTTTTGCCTTTTTGTATTTTCCTTTTTCTGTCTTAAAAAAAAAAAAAAAAAAATAATTCCAGCACTGAACTCCACAACTGGAAATGCCTTTGCAACAGCAAATATCCCTGCAAGGACACAGACACCTGCTGCACAGATCCAGGCTGGAGGCTGGAGCTGTGCCTGCTCACCCCAAAGTTCTGACCTCCCAGGAGTTTATCTGCCACCCAGTGCTGTGTGAATCCTCAGTCTGCAGCAGATCCAGACCAGGGAATGTCAGCATTTCAGCAGCATCCAGAACACGTGGATGTGTGTTTCTGGAGCTCTTCTCAACCAGCTGCACCCCCTCATTCCCTCTCCATGGCTGGGCAGGTTGCTCTCCTCACCCCCAGGTGCTGCCTGCAGGAGGGTGCAAAGCTCCACAAGGTCTAAACATGGTGGCTACCTAAGCCCCCATGCCCATCAGCTTCCACAGGGTGCATCTCTCCCATGTTTTTGAGCTGGAAGAAGTTTGGAGACCTTTAAGGCTACTCTGAACTAGATTAAAACAGGGGTTTTCAGTCAGGGCTGTAAACTGTCCCCATTCAAGCCAAGCTGCTGGCCAAGTCTGGGCTGAAACTCCTGGGAGCCTCAGGCTCCCAGCTCCCCAGAGGTGTGGGGAAGATGATTTCACTTACTGATGCCCAGTGAAATCCCTGCTAAACCAGGGATTAGAAGTGCTTTCTTTCATCAAGTTATTCCAGCAGGAGCAGAGCACAAGAAGGCTGTGTCCAAACACCAGAACAGCTTGAGGCTTGCTCCAGAGACTCTCCAGAGTCTAATAAGGGTTGAAGTCACCCTGCTGCCCCCTCCCTCCACCCCATTCAGGGAGAGAAAAATCTTCCTCCACTCAGCTGTCTGCTTTCACGAAACACAGAGGAGCATCGTGTTTCTGAGGCCTAAAATCCTTCTTTCAAATAAGGTTTTCAGTGGCCCGTGGAGCCAAAGGTTGCTGGAGTGGGAAGTGCAGGCTGCCAGTCTTATTTTCTTAAGAACCTATGCTAAAAAATGCCTAAGTAAAACATTTCTCAACTTCAAAAAAAGCACGGTATCTTCTTGGCTGTCTGCGTGACAGAGATCTGCAAATAGCTTTGGTTGACCTGTGGCTGAATGTATTTGGAGAATAAACACATGGATTGAAAACTTTTTCCAGATCTGAGAGTAAAACCAGCCCTGGCCACGCTGCTCCAGGCCCTCCCCAGGAGTGGCTGCTAATCAGGGGCTGCTACAGCACTGCTGGTGAAACATAAACTTTAAGGAATTTAAGATTTTAGTTAGAACTAAGCCTTATTAGAATTAATTAAAATAATAATAATAAATGAGTAGTCCTTGATGAAGTTAAGAGTTAGTAGTTAACTAATAACTGATTGCTTGTTAGCATAATGTTTAGTTAGCTGGGTTTATAATGAAGAATATAGAGACTGACAAACAGCTTTTAGGAACACAAGACAATTGTGGGCCTTCTCTGTTCTGAAACCAATTGAAGACAAGGAATGGGAGTTCTACCAAGATTCATTTGTCATATTGGCATTGAAAAGGTAGAAAGGCCAGAAGGAGGAAGACTTCATTGACTTCCTCATTTTGGGACCCCTCCCCATGAAAGGGACACCGACCCATTTCAAGGGACAAACCACGCATGCTGAATGGCTTTTGGAGTGATTAGCATACAAAGCGAGGAATGGGATGGACCAAAATGATGAAATGTATTTGTATTTTGTGTATTCAATACTTGTATGGATAAAAAGACTCTGTAACCACCTGGAAGCTGCAGTGTGGATTTGGGAGTGATCCTACACACAGTAAACACACACTTTCTAACTTTATACTGTTAGAGAGTTTTTGTCTGTCACAGTTGAATATCAGTACTAGATCAATATCCATATTTTTTAATAAATCACTGGAAAGATGGGGAGGGAGCAGGGGGCCATGCAAACACTCCACATGGCTGGAGGGTTTCACTATTGGAATATTTGCATGACTTTACTGCAAAGCTTTAATGAACCTGTCCCTTTCAGGTGAATGTGATTGCCAAGAGATGATGAGTAGGATCAGAAACCCTGGGGAGCAGGGAGTGCCTGAGGATCCTGTGCACCCCACAGTGTGGGCAGCAGCTGCTTTGTGCTCCTCTGCCAGTGCAGGACAGTGGGAGGGTGCCACTCCAGCCTGCTTTGCCTTTGCTGAAACATCTTGGCTGCAGACAAGGCAAGGGGAAGGTGTGTCTCTGTGGATAGGCACAGCCTGGAGCTGAGGGGCTGGAAAACCATCCCTAAGGCTGTCCCTTCCCCAGGTTAGCACATCCCAGGTGCTCCAAGTGACCTCAGACAGCCCTTCCCAGGGCACCCTTGGGAGTTACCTTTGCAGGGCCTTCTCCTAGCAGTGATTATGAAGCTCCCTGTGTAAACATCAGCTCGGGAGGGAGAATCTCTTCTCAGGAGTGTGAGAGGTAGAAATAAGCCATGAGCATTGAACAGGGGTCTGGTACTGTGACCAGTGCAGTCTCACTGGGCTGGGGAAGGAACTCGCTTCCCTCCCCTGAGCCCACCTCCCCAGAATGCTACACCAAGCAACACTGCACAGGGAGGAAGCCTTAATCCCTAAAAGAGGGATTTTCACAGAGAGCAGCCCTCAAAAAAAAAAAAAATCCAAAGGATAAGGGCCATTTCTAAGAAGAAGCTGGTGGCCACCAAAAGCATCCTTTTCCATACCAGGAGTGGGTGGGTCTGTGGCTTGTTCTTCTGGACATACAGGGTGGATGAGGAGGACCCCACAGAACGAGCAGGATGACCAGACCATGTGTTTGCAGCTCTTACTGTGCAAACAAAGCTTGGAGCAAAAAGAGGGTCAAGGTGACCCAGCAAGACAGGTCCTGTGCAAGACTCCTGGCAGGCAGTGGGAAGCTGGCAGTGACCAAGCCAGATGAACAGGAAGAAATCCAGCCAAAGGCTTCATGGTCCCGACCAACAATGAAGCCACTGTGCTAAAAAACACCCGCCAACCTCATTTTTAACTGCCTGTGAGCCAGCTGGCTCCCCACAAACCAACACATCCTGTGGATCTTGAGCCCACACCCAGCTCCTGCAGAGCCAGGAATGGCACAGAGAGGACAGGGAGGCCTGTGATGTGCAAGGACATCCCAGATCCTCTGAGGCTGGGCTTGCCACAGCCATGCTCCTTTCCTGCCATCCCTTAAGCAGCACCGACCACGGGAGCTGGACACTGAGCACCAGTCTGTCACCTGGCCCTTCATGCAGGCAAGCCACAGTGCAACATTCACACACAGACTGTGCTCAGGCAATAGGAAGAAACTGCCCAGAGCTCTCCCCAGCCCAGTGCTGAGAGCTCTGCTCCACAGGGATGCAGTGAGCTCCCAGCCCTTGCTGGCATCCCAAGCAGTGAGTGCCACGGGACAGACACAGAACTCCCTCTTCTGGACACTGTCTGCTGGCTGAGCCTCCCTCTCCTGGATCTCTGTCCCACGGAAAGGTTTCCTCCTCGCTATAAACCAGAGGCACTGGGGAAAACCTTCTGTTTCCATGTATGTCTACCTGAACATCTTTCAAAATTCCCTGAATTTGCAGAGAGAGCCCCCCCAGAAAAGAAGCTGCCAGAAACACACAGTGACTCCGAGCTGGGACCACAGTGTAAAACAGGCGAGGAGATGGGGAGGGAACAGATGAGTTAAAGCAGTGGATGGTCAGAGTGCTGGATCCTCCAGCCGTGGCTGCATCAGAGCTGTCTGAGGGCCACTTTTGGGATGGTCAGCACAGTCCCCCACTCACCTGTAGGGCGAGGCGGTCCCCCAGGAGAGATAGTCGGTGGGTCTCGGGGCGGGGCGAGGTACTATGGGCTGCTCCACGGCCGTCACGTCCCCTGAGTAGGATTTGAGCAGAGAGGCGTTCTTGCTGGCCAGCATGGCCCTCTCGTTCCGGCGGAACTTGGCTCTCCGGTTCTGGAACCACACCTGCAGCGGGGACAGCGGGGCCACCAGCCGTCACAACCGGCTCTGCCGCTCGCCCACCCCCGTGGCACCGTGCCCTGCGGGCTCTGGGAGAGCTGCCTGCTTCCCTGGCTGCCCCTGGGTGTGGGAGCCCCCCCCTTGCTCTGGGGTCCCATGTGGTGGGGAAATTCCTCCTCCAACCCGTGCTTCCAAAGAAAAACTGCGCAGGCTCTTGCTGTTCAGTCTCAAGGCAGTTTATTGTGAGTTATCTAAAAGATTTTCTTCTCAGGCTGCTGTGGTTTGCTCAGCAGCTCAGGCAGAGGCTCACACACACACCCTGACATTCTCTCTGACTGCTGTCTTCTTCTTCTCTCCCCCCACCCAGGGCTGCTGCTCTCTTTTATATGATATATTACGTGTTACATGTTTATGGTTTTCCCCCAAAACCTACTACCTATATTACAAAGTGCTTTTCTACTCTAAACCAATCTGTGAGTGCCAACATCACCAAGAACATGGAGGCAAGGAAAAAGAAGGAGGAAGAACAGGATCAGCCCACTTTCCTCCATCCTAGAACTTCTGACCCCCATGTACAAAGTAAAAACCCCCCTGTACAAGTGTTAAAACCCCCTGTACAATACTAAAAAAAATTCCCCTCTGTTTTGTAACTACTTTTACTATCCTATCTAACCCTTCGTGACTGCTTGTTCCACCTCCAAAGTTGGTAACTTCCATGGCTCAAACTCAAAATCACAGCTGTTTGCAGCTGCCTGACAGGGTCTAAAATGCTTCTGACCAAGGCCTGGAACCTCTAAAAATGTCTGAGAGACATTTTGAGTTCCAGCACCTGGGAACTCGAGGGGTGGCATAATCCTGGTGCCTGCTCTGGCCAAGCCCTCGGGTGAGGGGCTGCCTGAGGGACACGGGCGATGGCAGCAAGGTCTGGCAGTGCTGCCCAACACGCCGTGTTCCACGGTCTGCTTCGACCTGCAGAAGGTGCAGGCCGGCAAGCTGAGAGCTCGAGGCAACATCAGCAGCCTGAGCATCCAACATCTTGGCCATATGGACACACCTGAGCGGGCAGCTGGTGAACGGGGCGGCAGGTCAGGCCTGGCAGTCTCCCTCAAGGCAGGAGCTTGGTGACCCTTGTGTGCCACACAGACCTCAAGGACTTCTGCTGCCTCTCTGGAGAGCCCTGATGATCCCCCAGGTGAGGTGTGCCGGGTGTGAGCCGTGGCATTACCTGAACTCTGGCCTCAGTGAGGTTGACTCTGCGTGCGAGGTCTTCCCGTACGAAGGCGTCGGGGTAGTGTGTCCTCTCAAAGACCCTCTCTAGTGCCTGCAGCTGGCTGCTGTTGAAGGTAGTCCTGTTCCTCCTCTGCTTTCTTTTCTTCTTCTCTTCTGAGTTCAGCTGATCATCTAGGAGAGACAATTGGGGATGTGAAAAGTGAGAAAGCCACGAGAAATCCGCAGCCACGGGGTGAACGACCTCAATGGTTTCAAGAGGGAAAGGGTTTAGAAAGGGGCTTGCACAGTTTTAACCCCACAGGTTAACCACACTCTGTTAGTCCCCACATAAAGAGGAGATGGAAAGTGCACTGATCCCAAGTATTTATTTTTTAATTCCACTGTATAAGACTTGTGCCGGATCTCTTAAGCTACCCCAGGTCTCAGCTTCCTTAACCAAAAAAACAAAAAAAAAAAAAAAAAAAAAAAAAAGCCCAAAATGCATCTCCCCACTCCTGAAAATCCCGGAAATCTCTTCTGATGGCAAAGAATCACAAAGCCCTGTTCTCACTGCTTCAGATTTCCAAGGACTGCTCTGACCGGGACGTAACACAGCTCTCTGGGGTAAGAGCACACTTTTGGACACTGCTAGTGAGGAGCAGCTGTGCCCTCTGCAGCATCCTCCTTGCCTTGCTGAGCCCAGCAAGGTGTTGAACAACCACCCATAAGAGCACATATTCTTTTTCACCTGGTTTGCATTTACTCAGAAATTAATCACCACATCTGCATCATGCCAGCATGTGTGGGGTGCCACCAAAAAATCCACATTACCCTGGGGGAACCTGAGCCAATATTCATGTCAGCATTAAAGTGCATTGATCTCTGAATCCATAGAAGTTCACAAGCTAGTGAATCATATTCTAAGTTCATCACTTACATCTTGGCCCAGGTGACAGTGTCACCACTGAGAGTGCCAGGGCTTGACCTGCTATGTACAGATGGAGAACAACCTCTAAACAGTTACTCCTTTTGCCATGTACAAATATGACAGCTCCTCTTATCCCCCTCTTCTCCAGGGGGTATGTTAGGCACAGGCTGACAAGGAAATTAGAGTCTGCAATTGCTGTCCTCACCACTTGTTTGTGTTGCTTTTCACAGCCCATCTGGTACCAGTTACTGCACCTGTACACCTTCGGAGAAAGGCCCATCCATTTGAGAACAAAAGGACATTCCTCTTAAATTAAAGCATGGTTTTCAAATTCCTTCAGGTTTACAGTGCCTCCATCCCTAATCCTCCTCCAACAGCCTGATGATCCCCTGAGGATCCTGATGAAGGCTCCTTTCCAGCCTGGGGATCCCTGGGTGCAAGAACACACCCTTGGTTTTTCCATTTCCAAGAGGAAGTGTTTGGAACCGGTTTTTAACAGGAATGCTGAGTTGTAAAGCTGAGCTGGAAAGGGGCTGGCAGAGGCAGGAATGTGCAAGGAAAACAAAGGCATGTAGGAATGAATCAAAGCAGGGCTACAGGTGAATCTATCAGCTCAGGTGGTGGGAAGCAATGGAGCAAAGGGATGGAATTGAATTGCTGCTTGTGCAGAACTCCCTGCACACATTTCTCCCCGCTGGAGGGTTTAACACTGTCCCAGGGTCCATCCCCTATAAAGAAGAAGAAAACCCCTGTGTGTCCCTCTCTTGACTCATCACCAAACCCTTCTCAAAAAGGGTCAGCTATTTCCCCCTGGCTCTGCTGGCAAGTTTCGACATAGCTGTGCTGCTGTGCACCACACAACACAGCAAACAGAGCCTCAGGGCACAAACGTCCCTCCAAATGCCACAAACGCTGCAAGACCAGCTGCTGGAGAGCCCAAAGACAACACGGCCTCCTTTGGAGTTACCCACTTCATGCCATTTTCTAATCTAAACCCTGTCTATGCAGAGCATATGAACAAATCAATCAAAGCCTTTGGGACCCCTTCAGAATCCTATCCAAGCCTCTGAAGCATCATTTCTGCCCAGAACACAACACCCGGCTGGAGGGAACGCGAGTCTGGCCCTTGCTGGGTCCTGCGTGACAGCTACACATGAGGAAGGGTGAGCACATCCCTCTGGGGAGCGAGGAGAAGGGCCAAAGTCTGTAGAACACCGGAGAACAAGAATTCCCCCTGCCAAGCACGTTAGCACAATTTGCCTGGTTTCCTCCCGGCGTAAAGCGAGACGCCAGTGATTCACAGCTCACCTCATAATTACTGAGCCCAAAACCCAAAAATAGCCGGGCTGGGGGACGGAAAGTGTCCGTGCTGGGTGACTCATGGCTGGGTCACCGCTGCCTCAAGCACCCCAGCCTGGGCTGCCACGGAGCAGGGATGTCAGTCACCCCCTTTTTCCAGGACAGAGCTGCGTGGAGGTGACAGCAAAGCAGGACCTGCCACAGGGAGCCGTGGAATTTTGGGATCTCCTGTCGCCGCACCTCTGGAGCGGCGCGAGATCCAAATGTCAACAGGAGCGACGTGGGCAGCAGGGGAAAAAAAAAAATAATAGCAGGATATTAATGCAGAGTAGCACGGGGTTGGTCAATCCTTGTGTCTTGCCATATGCTGCTAAGGAGGGGCTGCACACACCTAAACCCAGCCTGCCTGCCAATGTCATCTTGCTCACAGCGCTCCGGGCTGCCTCCAGCATGTCAGCACCGTGTTCCTTCTTCTCTGACAATGTTTCCTTATCAGGAAACAACCCTGAACCCTGAAAAATGGTATTCCTGAAAAATGGTATTCCTAAACAGTGTTGACAGCATGAGTGACTGGAGTCAGCAGAAACGGCGAGGAGAGGGAAACAGCTCTAAAGCTTTTTAGGTAGGTCAGAAGTCTTTCATCAAGGTTCTTTTAATCAGAAAAATTTTCTTACACGCGGTGTTCTCAAAAGCTGAGCGGTTTGCAAATGTGCCTCACAGAGAGGTCGAAACGTGCATTCTCCTCTCAGGAACCCAGTGCTGGAAAATCTGGGAATTTCATTGCCAAATCCCAGCCTTCCATGCTGGGACCACGTTTCCTGTTTCCACATTTGCGTTTTCCTGTGTTATTTCTACCTTTCCCCATAACTTGCAGATCCTGGTGTCATACACAAGTGCACCAAAGCATTTTCAAGTGCTCCTAAATGATTCAGCATGAAACACCCTATTCTTTTTTCCTCTTGCAGCGAGGCAGATCCACACTTGCAGACACTGCAATCTGTTCTCCTCACTGCACAATGTCTGTCCCAGTGCCTGTAACTATCGCTGGGGCACTACTAGGCAGCTCCTCTTGGAATGCCACATTGAAAATTAAAAAAAGCCCAATTAAGTTAAAAAAAAAATCCAAACATTAAATTAAATTAAATTAAATTAAATTAAATTAAATTAAATTAAATTGAAAAAAAAAATCAGAGTTGAGAATGAAATGCCTACGTAGGAGTTTCAAGATTGGTATTTTTTCATCAATATTTACAACCACAACATATTTTAGATTTCCAGTTTGCAGGAATGCTTGCGCATATTTGCATTCATTCCAGGTCAGAAAAAAAGCTAATTTTCAGATGGGATTTACATTGTGTGGGCAGTTTGGAAAAGTTTTGACCAGTTCTATTAAGTCAAGAGCCAGCTATTATAGTTCATTAATCGGATCTGAATCAAAAGTAAACCACTGGATTTAATTAAGGGAGGGACAGAGACACTTAACCACAGTATAATGTATGGTAAGGCAGCAAAGATTTGTCACATCAGTTATAGAAACTGTAAAATGAGAAAGGATTCCAGGAAGAAAATAAGGACTCACACTCTAATCACAACCTTCAAAATAAGAAGCTAACATTTGAACACAGATTTAAGAACAAGCAAGACAAATGATTTCACAGTGG